AAAAAAAAATAGAACAAGTAAATAAGGAATAACAATATATAAATTGACAATTGTATGTCCAGGTATATTGCAATAGACAGTTTTGTATGTACAGGTATAAGAGATAGATAGATAGATAGATAAAATGTCAGTAAGCAATAAGGCAGTGGGTGCTAGAGGCCTCGGTGTGTGTCTGGGCATGTATGCGTGTGCGTGCCCTCCTCCCCTCCTGTTCTGTCAGTATCTGTGTGAGCACACCGGTGTGATGTGCCTACCGGCTAAATGTCCAAAAGTCCACCCCACCTCCCCTTCCTCTATCCCCGTCTTCTTTTCACATTAAGGCTCCAGCTAATACCATCCCACTGGTCTAAGATCCCTCCCCATGCCTGCTTAAAAAAACACACTCATACACACATTTCTGGTAAAACAGGGGTCAGACTGTAGAGGCCAGACCAATCTTCCTGTCCTCTCATATTTCTTTCACTATAAGTCAGCAAGAACGTGGCAGAGGCCTACCAGTGTGCCAACATCTCTTAAACCCAAATTTGCTTCTCACTTACTCACTCCCTGGTATACTCCATTTTATATTTCTCTCTCTCCCTATGACTCAGTTGCACAGGAGATCTGGGGCAATAGATTAGTCCAGTGGCCTGGTGATGGACCATCTTGATCTGGACCCTCTCCTTTGGATGCAAGGGTATGGGTATTCCAGGACTTTGTAAGAGATAGACCAACCAGGCACTCAATAAATTTAAGTGACCCCCCCCCGCCCCCCCCAACTGGTGACCCAGATCTACTGGCCCCAAGATTTTAATTCTTAGGTCACCCTAAACCTTCTACAGTACCATCAAAGCTGTGTACTCCCAAAGGACAGCCAAACCCTGGGGCAAGTGTCCTCATCCCTGTTTGGGGAGGACAAACTTCCTGCAGAGGTTAGTTCCAACTCCAACACACCTGAGACAGCTAATCAAATTCCTTGGGTTAAGTTGAAAATTGCAAGTAGGTTCATTGGAAGTAAGACCAGAACTAAACTTTCTACAGGAAGGTTGATCTCCAGGAGTAAAGATGAGGACACTTGCCTCAAGGTTTTGGTTTCTGCTTTGGGGAATAGATTATGTAGCCATGACTTTGAAATTGGACATGTTCCTGGGTCTTTTGTTAGTTCTGGAAGAACATAACAGTCAAACATAGTCATAATCCTACTTTTACTGTGAGGCTGAAGTCCACACCAACCAGAGCTCTATCCCTATACCTGTGCGATTGTTTAATAGGAATGATGTTGATCCAGGAATATGTCCTACTTAAAAGGTTGAGAAGATTCTGTCAAGTAGGACATGTTCTTGGACATTTTGTTGGTCCTGGAAGAACATTCCAAATACCGAACATAATTCTTACCTTAAATTTTAAGTTAAAAGAGCATACCATGCTTGGATCTATGACAAGTTAAAAGGTGAAGGTAGCTTGTAACTTTTGAAAAGCTTGTCTTTTTCCCTTACCAACAGTGCAATGGTGACATCTTTCATAATTTACTTATGTCTTACCACCAGTCCCTCTTCTTGTAAACTCCCCTCTTTCCCTTTTACCCTTTATTTATTTTGCATTTTTTATTTTTTATTTTTCTTTTCTCCTCACCGATGACATTAAGGTGTCCTGTGACCTCTTTGGAGCCAAAGCTGTTGGTGACTTCACAGATGTAGTTTCCAGAGTCTTCCAGACGGAGGTCGCTGATTGTGAGGCCGGTCAATCGCCGTGTCCAGCGGGAGT